AGTGAATACATGTGTGCTTCCTGTGTGTGTGTGTGTGGTGTGTGTGTGTGTGTGTGTGTGTGTGTGTGTGTGTGTGTGTGTGTTTGTGTGTGTGTGTGTGTGTGTGTGTGCGCGCGCGTGTGTGTTGTCATTTCAATTAAAAATCGGAAGGAAAAACTGTATCCAGTAAGCCTGCTGAATTCAAAATATCTTCATTGAAAAAGGCATCAAGCGCTGCCAATCAAACATGTGTCACACATTTCCAGACACTTCACGCAATAGTTTGAAAAGGCAACGGCAAATAGTTACCCATTTGAATTGCAACCTAGACCTTTGAGGCTTGACTCATCGACTTTGAAACCGACACGCGCAGATTTGCGCGCTAAAAGCTGGTTAGGACCAACCATTAAGACCGGCCGCTCAAGTACAGTAACGAGCACGGTGAATAATTCATTATAATTCGTCGCAGCGTCTGCCACGCTACTGCACTGTTGCCACTGCATGCGAGGTGTTAACAAGATACAGACGCTCAATAATTACGGATAATTCTCCTTCGTTAGACGTCCATAGTTTCAGGTAAAACGAAAAGATCAGGCGGATGTTTGATTTGTCCGGAGGAAAGCAATGGTCGTACTTTGTGGCGTAATATCACGGGCGCGCATGGGTGTGTATGTATGCGTGTGCGGTGTATGTGTGTGTGTGTGTGTGTGTGTGTGTGTGTGTGTGTGTATGTGCGTGCGTGCGTGCGTGCGTGCGTGCGTGCGTGCGTGCGTGCGTGCGTGCGTGGGCGCATGCGTGTGTGTATACACGCACCACTATATTGTCGACAAGGAAGCCAGAACAGCTACTATACAGAGTATACTCGTTGTACCTTGATATTGGTCACTTGTTGGTAAGGATCGGCTGCGAAGCTTTCTGCCGTCAGAATCTCGATGCCATGATCTTTCGCCGCCTTCACGAACTCCGTCGTAGCCTGCAGACAGACGATGTACGTGACGTCACACAGCTACACAGACAGACGATGTACCTGACGTCACACAGCTACACAGACAGACGATGTACCTGACGTCACACAGATACACAGACAGACGATGTACCTGACATCACACAGCTACACAGACAGACGATGTACCTGACGTCACACAGCTACACAGGCAGACGATGTACCTGACGTCACGCAGCTACACAGACAGACGATGTACCTGACGTCACGCAGCTACACAGACAGACGATGTACGTGACGTCACGCAGCTACACAGACAGACGATGTACGTGACGTCACGTAGCTACACAGACAGACGATGTACCTGACGTCACGCAGCTACACAGACAGACGATGTACGTGACGTCACGTAGCTACACAGACAGACGATGTACGTGACGTCACACAGCTACACAGACAGACGATGTACCTGACGTCACACAGCTACACAGACAGACGATGTACCTGACGTCACACAGCTACACAGACAGACGATGTACGTGACGTCACACAGCTATACAGACAGACGATGTACCTGACGTCACACAGCTACACAGACAGACGATGTACCTGACGTCACACAGCTACACAGACAGACGATGTACCTGACGTCACACAGCTACACAGACAGACGATGTACCTGACGTCACACAGCTACACAGGCAGATGATGTACCTGACGTCACACAGCTACACAGGCAGACGATGTACCTGACGTCACGCAGCTACACAGACAGACGATGTACGTGACGTCACACAGCTACACAGGCAGACGATGTACCTGACGTCACGCAGCTACACAGACAGACGATGTACGTGACGTCACGTAGCTACACAGACAGACGATGTACCTGACGTCACGCAGCTACACAGACAGACGATGTAGGCCCTACCTGACGTCACACAGCTACACAGACAGACAGCTATAGCCAGCCAGCCAGCCATCAGCCACCCAGCCAGCCAGACAGACAGAAAGACAGAAAGACAGGCAAATAGACAGACAGACAGACAGACAGACAGACATATAGATAGACAAACAAACAGACAGACAGACAGACAGACAGACAGACAGACAGACAGACGGTCGGAGAGACGGACGGACGGACGGACGGACGGACGGACGGACGGACGGACGGACGCACGGACGCCCGCGCGGACAACAGACGCACGCACGGACGGACGGTCAGACAGACAGACAGACAAACAGACAGACAGAGCTGATACACACAAGCACGCACCACGTGCACGCACACAACTCACGCACGAACGCGCACACAGTCACACACAAACACACGTATGCATGCACGCATGCAGTTGCACACATATACACGTACACAGAGATACACCTAAACGCGCACGCACACGCACGTACACACAAGTACGCACACTCACACGCGCGCACACAGATGCTAACGATCACTAGCATAGCAACAGTACAGATAGCAGCAGTTCGGAGTCTGTGATATAAAGCAGAGATAGTTATTTATTCATCAACATCAGACGAGAGTCTCGATTTTATCTATTAAGTTATTAACCTTTTTTACATTCGGTATCATTGACGGTTATTTTTAGCGTCTTTCGACACGAACTCAACCATCAATCTCAACCGCTACCATTGCCCCGCTTTCAACTTTCCTTTATCTTTACATTTACGTTCATCTCTTCTCCCTATCCTATAGCTCCATCGCCAAATATTCGTCACACACACATTAAGCATATCCGACTTCATTTTGGGCAACTATGCATTTCTTGCATCCAGCTCTACCCCTAGCCTACGTCTGGTTACACACATGCCGCAAGTATCTATACTAACGGATATAACCGATCTGCATATTCACGCATGCACACAGACACACGCAGGTACACACACACACACACCATCATCCCGACCCACCACCACACATCACACACACACACACACACACACACACACACACACACACACCATACACACATCACAACAACACACACACACACACACACACACGCACCGCGCCGCGCGCGCGCCCACGTACACTTTCACACTTCCACACGCACATGCACGCACATGGGCGTAGACTCTCTTTCTCTCTATCTCTTCCACCGCGCATACTTAGACACCGCACACAACAAACACAAACACACACACACACATACATTATACAAACACAGCATACACACACACACACACACACACACACAACACACGCGCGCGCGCGCACACGCACCACACACCACACACACACACACACACACACACGCGCGCGCGCACACACAAACATACACAACACACACGCGCACACACACGCACAAACAAACACACACACACACACACACACCACACGGCACACACAACGCCACGCACACGCAAGCAACCGACACGCACACGCACCACGCACACGCACACGCACACACACACACACACACACACGCGCACACACAAACATAACACACACACGCGCGCACACACACGCACAACACACACACCACACACCACAACGCACACGCACACGCACACGCACACGCACGACGCACACGCACACGACCCCACGCACACGCACAACACACACACACGCGCGCGCACACAAACAAACACACACACGCGCGCACACACACGCAAAACACACACACACGCACACACGCACGCACACGCCACACGCACGCATACGCACACGCACACGGCACACGCGACACACACACGCACACACACACACGCACACACACCACACACACACACACACACACACACGACCACTACGACGACCTAATTCACACCTGCACCATCAAAACATCTCTACCTTCAGCGCAGTATCACTCCACCATCCCGTTCCTCTAATATTCCTGCTTTCACTCCGCGTTTCCGCTACTCATGTTTAGATCTTCACCACGCTTTTATGCCTCTATATGCGGCTTCCACGCCCATTCTGCGTTAGCTCCGCTTCCCAATCTCGCTCGCTATCTATATTTCCCGGGTGGCGCGGGAGTTGAAGGTAGCGATTGTAAAGCTGCGACCGTCGTCCGCTGCCCGTCATATATCTAAACATACGTAGTCGATGCCATTTCCGTCAGACTCAGAATATCGAACGTTCGATCGCTGCAGAGGTGCATATATATATATATAATATATATATATATATATATATATATGTGCATATGGCATTAGGAGATGAGTTAGGGGATTTATTATTAATATTGTGGGGCGTTCGTTCACAGCGCAAAGCGAGTAAGTAGTCGGACAGTATTATATCGAACCCTGCGAGACCAGGCGACATATCCGAGCGAGCGCTGCTCGTCAATCCGATCATCTATGCATGCAGCGTCATTTAGCCGCTCTCATTTTAATCTCGGCGCCGTTTTCCAGCGGCTGAATACGAAGAGTGGGGATGAAGGAAGGAAGGGGAAGGAAGGGGAAAGCGGATTGGTGGCGGAGGGCGGAAATTGGGAGCGGGAAGAGGGGAAAGGCGAAGATTAGAAACAGGTGGTGTAGGAAAGAGAGGGGTGGAGGAATTTAGGGAGGGAGGGGAGACAAATAAGAAAGAACAGAAAAATAAGAAAGAAATAAAAAGACGAGAGAAGAAACGAAAGAGAGAGAGAAGAGAGAGAGAGAGAGAGAGAGAGAGAGAGAGAGAGAGAGAGAGAGAGAGAGAGAGAGAGAGAGAGAGAGATAGATAGAGAGAGAGAGAGAGAGAGAGAGAGAGAGGAGAGCAGAGAAGAGAGAGAAAGATAGAGAGAATCGGTAGGAGTTAAGGTACGCGGAAATGTCATGGAAGAGCGGGTTGGATTGGAGGAACGAACGAGCTGAACTAGTAGAGCGGAGGAGAAAAAGAACGACGGGAAAGTGCAATTTTCCTCGCTATTTGTGTATGTTTTTTTATGTGCTCACCCATCCGTTACGGCGACACGAAGTGACGTTACGCGAATGGACGCCACGCTGGACGACAAGTCTAACCACAACTGTCGCCGTCACGATGGTTGCCGGGGCTACTCTGCGTGCTCAGTACATTACCGATGCTGAGATAGCGATACAGAGCGAGGTGATAGAGCAGGCGTTGAGTGGCAGTCGAATAAAAAGAAATCTACATTGAAGTAAAAGGCATGCATGCGAAAGCGACAGCTTTGCCATTCCAGAATCTAGGCTCTTTGGTTCGCAAATGCGAGTTATATGCATTTTTTAGCCGCGCCAAGTTCAATTCAAGTTATTAAATTGTGTGTCGTGTAAGAGGCTGTACGTATGGGGATCCTCTTGTCGAGCAATGACCCGCATAAAGACATGGCTGATGATTTACGTCGCGTGACGAGGCGAGGTGCCAGTGCGACGCGTGTGTATCCACGTAGGCCCCATATGTATCCAGTACGGACGAGGGGATTCTCCTTGATAGATGGCGCTTTTAGCGCCGTGTATGGCTAGCAACATGATGGACACGTACCAATACTTTTTTTTATTTGAATAATGACGAAGCGAAATCACAGTGCAATATAGTAGACCATGATTGCAAACCATACGCCTGTAACCTCAAACCTAAAAAGCATAATTCTAGCAATACCCGATCAGATAAGTATACGCTATATAGTGCTTAGAATGCGTAAAGTATAGTACGGTATATAATTTGTTGTAACGTTGGTTGTCTTTACATTTAATATAGAACGCCTCCTGAATCCCCAGCGGCGGAGTGATTCTCTCCCTGCGTGGATTTATATCTGCGAGTGACATTGCTACGATAAAGCCCGGATTTGAATTGAGAGCAATTAGTCGCCAATAGGTCTATATCGATCCTTTATTACCACCGGCTTGATACCCGCTGGAAGTATGTCATGTTCTCCAGAACTCTGCTGCTGCTAACGAACTTTTCGCTTTCCCGCGACCACGGGGCTTCGTGAAGGTATCTTTACATAAATGCACGCCGCAGCAACGCACCCGTGCATAGCAGGAATGAAAGCGACACGTTTAGCAATAATAATAATAATAATAATAATAATAATAATAATAAAGTCCAATAATGATTACTGCAAGGCGTGCTTTGCTGCTCATTTACATCTGTTTGTAATGTCGTCCCACTAGCTTTTTCATCTTCTTTCTCTTTTTTTCACTTTTCCGATTCTCATTATTTTCATTTTTTTACTCCATAAACCGCTGCCAAGTTTGTATGGCATGCGCACGCGTTTAAATGGCTGCGCGTGACTGGCTCGTTTCGGAGGGTCGAACACACGACAACGTGACTATTCTCAGGAACGACATCATTACCCGCGCAGCGCCTTTCAGAAATTTAAGTGTTAATTTCAGCAGTAGCAGCAGCAGCAGCAGCGCAGGCAAGCAGGGCAGCAGCAGAGCACAGCCAGCAGCAGAGCAGCAGGAGCAGCAGCAACGACAACAATAACAACTAGAAAGAAAGCACTCGGGAAGTGCGAATCCTCCGCACACGCGATCACTACACCTGTGATATTTTGTAGGCTGAGGTTGCTACTTGTAATGGATGACGTTGACCTTGGTAAAATATCACTCAAAATGAATACTTGTCAAGGATTAGCAGAGTTGGTAGTCTGCAGTAGATTATGGCATTTCAATTCAGATCATGTGTTTATGTGTGTGCCTTGACTTGTATTTATTGTTATTAATTCACTAATAATAGTTATTATTCACATATCACTGTACATACCTGATTCGTCGTTATTGGAGTTTATCGTGATACTAAAAATGATGAGGCTCATCCATATATAAATGACTGCAGTAACTGCAGTAGCTTTGGCGGACAATAAACAGGCACGCTGTTTGTGAGACCTAATCATCCCCCAGTTCACACACTGTGCGGATCCTAGAAGCCAGTTCGTATAGTTACTCACTGGAGCTTATTCTACAGCGCAGTGCACACACTCTGCCACACACAACACGCCTGGAAATACCGCCTGGAACCCCGCCCCGCGTTAGCAATGCTACGGTCCTTCCGCCATGACTCAGCGTTGGAAATAAACATAATGACAATATACTTAATTATTATATGATAATAAGGTCAAGGGCACTCAGAATCAATAGGATTCCACCGCTCTATAAGATGCACATATGAACCAAGTTTGAAGTGTCTGCCTCTTACATTTGCAAAGATACTCGAGCGGACACACACACACACACACACACACACACACACACACACACACACACCACACCACACACACACACACACACACACACAACACACGCACGCACACACACACGCACACACACACGCACACACACACGCACCCACACACACGCCACACGCACAGGCACACGCACACGCACACGCACACGCACACGCACACATCCACACACACACACCACACGGACACACAAACACATATATATTATATATATATATATATATATATATATATACAACCGAAAACCTAGCCAGAACAATACCTGCGCTACACTTTCGTGCGGGATAACAATGTTTATACACCCCTTAGTGGCCTAAACGTGTCGATTATCTAGCGCTAGAAAATTCTCGCGTTTTCTCGCGTACTCCGCGGCGTTACTGGTATAGCGATCGAAGTGCGCGCATCCAATATTGCGAGCATCTATAATAGCCTAGCTTACTTTACTGGTCTGTCTGCTTCCTTGTGAGCATGGCGCCTGCTTTATCTTCATTGATTTTGGCATGGAAATCATTTTATTAAAATCTAACGCGCGCTTACCGCGCAATGGCCACTGTTATGTAGCAATCAATGCGTTTCAATGTGCCTTTACACACAATACACACACACGCGCCCACACGCGCACCACACACATCACACACGCACACACAAACCAAACACACACACACACACACACACACACACAAAACAAACACAGACACAAAACACACTCACTCACTCATCACACACACACACACACCACAAACACACACACACACACACACACACACACACACACACTCACACACAAAACACACACACACACACACACACACACCACACACACACACACACACACACACAACACAACACAAAACAATACAAGACAACACAAGATAACACAAGACAAGACAATGCAAGACAAAACAATACAAGACAAGACACAAGACAAGACAAGACAAGTCACAAGACAAGACAACACAACACAACATAACACAGCACGAAGACAGACCACGGAACCAAATGACCATTACGACAAGACAGACAAGACAAGACAAGACAAGACAAGACAAGACAAGACAAGACAAGACAAGACAAGACAAGACAAGACAAGACAAGACAAGACAAGACAAACAGACAAGACAAGACATACAAGACAAGACAAGACAAGACAAGACAAGACAAGACAAGACAGACAAGACAAGGACAACAAGACAAGACAAGACAAGACAGACAAGACAAGACAGACAATGACAGACAAGATCAAGACAAGACAAGACAGACAGACAAGACAAGACAAGACAACTACAGACAAGAAAACAAGACAATACACACAAAAACAACACAACACAACACAACACAACACAACACAACACACACAACACACACAACACAACACACACACACACACAACACAACACAACACAACACAACACAACACAACACAACACAACACAACACAACACAACACAACACAACACAACAAAACACAACACAACATAACACAACACTCACATAGAAGACAGCATGCACACGCTAACAATGCACACACACGTGCGCGCATGCACGCACACACACGCACGCACTTACCAGCGAGAAAAGGTCTTGCGTTTCGTGTATGGTAGCGACCTTCTTCCATCCGAAATACTTTAGCAAGTCGAACTTTGCCGGATTCATCGTCGACTCAGGCGGAAATACCCGAAAGAACTTCTGATATTTTTCTCTGTTTGACAACGCCGGACTCGCGCTCGAATACGATAACTGTAAAAGTAAGAAAATATAAGCACAGCGTCCAAGAACAGAGTTTAATACACTATTTCGCATTAATTTTTCTTTAATAAAGTGCAATGTTTATACAAGGGTACGTGGTGAAACACAACGAGAGTTATACTAATCAACAAGAAATCTCGGCAATAAAATACAAGATATCAACAAAATGATGAAGGAAAATATTTCGGTAGCGTTGAAAACGATGGCAATTGTTTAATAGTTTCTCGTGTTCGGCACTGCCGCTAAAACTGCGAAGGGGCATTTCGACCGACGAGTTTAAATATTGGTACAGTTGTCGCTGCCGGCGCAAAACACAAGCGAGCGCGTCGCGTTTCGCCGTCGCGTATTTACATACGAAAATAAATAGTCCGAGGACGATATGTAATCGTGTGAAGTGTTTTCAAATAGATTTGTCCGATGAAACAAGACACCCCGTTTTCAAGAGCTTTTGAGCGGACACATGGGCTCGCACTAAGTTAGTCACGATGTAGAGGGGGAGGAGGTTGTGGTGGCAACGAGGGGGAGGAATAAGTAGAGAAGAGTGCGCGGTGAAAGAAGTGGGGGCAGGAATAGGATGAGGTGAAGGTGATGGTGGGTGAGGTGGAGGACAAGGGAGAGGGGGATATGGTGAAGAAGGAGGTGGGGCAGGAAAAGAAAAGAAGGAAGGTGGGGTGAAGAACGTGGAAGAGGAAGGCGAGCAAGAGTTGGTGAAGGAGGTGGAGTAGGGAGAGGATGTGAGTTGGTGAGCAAGGTGAACCGATGGTGTTTGAAGTAGAGGTAGAGGAAAATACCGAGGCCGCTAAGGCGAGCGAGGCAGATAAAAACCTCGAGGAAGCGAGGAGAAGGAGAGGATGTATAGATCGATGATGAGGAAATTGGCTGGGTAAATGGAGGAAGAGCAAGCAAATGTGTAAAACGAGCAGAAAAAGAAGGAAGAGGAGGAGGATGAAAAGGGGGAAGGGGGAGGAGGAAGAAGAGGAAGATGAAGAAGAAGAAGAAGAAGAAGAAGAAGAAGAAGAAGAAGAAGAGGAGGAGGAGGAGGAGGAGGAGGAGGAGGATGAGATGGATAAAAATGTATGGTACACAGGAAGAGAAGTGGAGGAATGAGATAACACATATACGGAACGGAGAATGTGAAACTTTAAAATAAAGCTCTTTGAACGCGGTGTTTCTTAAATTGCAAGCAAACACGTCACTTCTAGTTGTGGCGATACCGGCCGCGTACGTACAGACGCCATTATGGGTTGTCCTCCGTGCTGCTAGGCAAAATTACTTAGCTCGAATTCTATCACCTCTGTGACAAGCTTTTCAAGATCGCGTCTAATTCAAACTGAAAAGTCGATTTCCCTTGAGCTACGGCGAGTTTGAAGTTAGTTGTCAAATTAGGTTTCTTCCGACACGAGTTGCGTTTCCTCTACAGTTATCTGTCTACAGTCTCGCTAAAAGCCACTTTTTTCTTGGTTAGCCTATACATATACGATTTCGCCTGGTCACGACTGTATTTTTACACAATCACGCGGGCATGCACGCGCGCGCACGCATTCACACACGCAAGCTCACACAACACAATAATAGGCGGCATAAATGTGCATCATTTAAGATATCGCACTTTCAATGTTGGCGAGAAATCTTGATAATTTAAAATACCGATGCTCAGAAGAGGCTGTATAACTGCTACACATTCCCGGGGCGCGTTCAGGATTAGAATGACGTGAACTGATTGCGCGCAAGCGAGGAGCAGACATGCACTTAACCGCATCTCGCGTTTTCTCGCACCCGAATCGTTTCCACTATGGGAATTCTAGCGAGAAACTATAAGCGTCACAATGAAAACTATAAATGACTGAGATTTTACTAAGGTTCGTGGCTGTGGTCACGCAAACACATCCCTCGACATTTCTACCCTCTCTCACAGTCTCCTATACACTCCTCATCCTCTCCTCTCTACGAACCTCCCCCTGTCTCAATCTCATCTACACTCCTCCTCTCTCACAGTCTCCACTAGACTCCACACCCGTATACACTGTCCCAACTACACTCCCTCACTCTTATAGTCTCCTCTGCACGTCTTACTTTATTCTCTCTATACTCCCTATCTACACTCCTCACCCCGACTCTCTTTCTACATACCTTCTCATTTTCTCACAGTCTATATCAGAAGTAGATAATAGGGAATCCCTATTATCTACTTCTGATCTATATCCATCACGTTCATCCCTATAAATTCACCCCCCCCCCCGGTATCCCCATACTATCCATACCCATATTTTCTCGCTACGATAATAGATACGGTCGGTGATAGGTAGCCGAGCGCTATCTCATGAGAGCGGCATAGAAACGCAACTTGCTCCACATCTGCACGCACGCGTCAATAATTTATTGCTCATCATCACTTCGTCTGCGAGCTTGCCCGCAATAGGCGCGAAATGAATATCGATCACACGCATGCGCGCATGCATTCACGTATGCATGCACGCGCGCATGCACGCACGCATTCACGTATGCATGCATGCACGCATGCACGCACGCATTCACGTATGCATGCACGCGCGCATGCACGCACGCATTCACGTATGAATGCATGCACACATGCACGAACGCATTCAAGTATGCATGCACGCGCGCATGCACGCACGCATTCACGCACGCATTCACGTATGCATGCACGCACGCACGCACGCACGCACGCGCGCGCGCGCGCACACACACACACACACACACACACATATATATAATACATATACCTGTACCCACGCGCGCACGCACGCACGGACACGTATAGCCAAAGAGTTATACTCGGACGCACCTGGATGAGGTTCCAGTACTGCGAAGTCTGTGCTGTCGGCTGCGTTACGCTGGAGCAGCCGGCTCCTATCACCATGATCTTCGTCGGCGGCGTGTGCAGCTGCTCGAAGAGCACCTTCGTGCCGAGTCCTCCGTCACACTGCAATACAGGCGAGCGAGAAGATATATTGTAAGGAGACAAGAGGCAGAGAGAGAGAGAGAGAGAGAGAGAGAGAGAGAGAGAGAGAGCGTTAGAAGTGAGGTGAATGAAAGAAGAGAGAGTGAGAGAGAAGAGGGCATGCAAGTACGATATGATCGTTATGGGCGATATCGCCGAACCTCACGTTCTCATACGAACACAGGCGCAGATTGCGAGGAAGGAGAGAGGGAGAGGGGGGGAGGGAGAAATAACGGTGATAGCAAGAGGACTGATTCTTGGTTGCGCGCGTAGTCTATATATGGCCGTGGTTCAACAACTGGGGGCTAGGACGAGCACAGACAAATTAAGGCGTTATCCAGATGAATGATTATTGGGAAGGGGTGCGCACTTAAAGTGACTCTCTTTGGAGAATCAAAGTTGGGCTCTCCTTCAAGCGCGTTCGGAGCCTAGGACGTGTTAGCACTGACCGAACAACTGACAGTTGTATATCACACGCACACATGCACTTACGCACCCACAAACGCGCGTACGCACGCACGCCCACGAACGCAGGCACGCACTTACGTACGTACGCACTCACGCACTCACGCACGCACGTGCACACTCGCGCACCCACGAACGCACGCACGCGCGTACGCACGCAATCATGCACGCAATCACGCACGCACGTACGCATGCACACATATCGTGACAAATGAAGGTGTTATGTAGACCCGTATAGATCCATGGCCCATAGTAACTGTTGCAGATAATAGCTGTTTAACAGCTGCTGAGACAAAAAACTGTGGGTTGAGAATCCCATCTCGAGAACACGAATTCCAATCAGAAAACAAACGCCTGAAGCGAACCGAAGGCCGAGTAAAAATGACGCTGCCCAAAAACAGAAATGTGTAGAAACCTTCCAGAGCGAGAGAGAAGGGGGAAGGGAGAGAGAGAAAGAGAGAGATCATGGCGCGGGGGTACCATCTCCTGCTTCTCGTCAATGAGGGATAGCTTACTGCAGCAACGCATGGCGCGGGGGTACCATCTCCTGCTTCCCGTCAATGAGGGATAGCTTACTGCAGCGACGCATGGCGCGGGGGTACCATCTCCTGCGTCCCGTCAATGGAATGCTGGCACATCTATCTATCGTCGTTATATATCCTTTTATTCGCGCTATCTACATTTTGTTATAATATAATACATCATGTATATAATATAACATATCATTTTAAAATATATAATATAACATATTATGTTCCCCTATCATGGAAGGAGTAGCGGAACCTATGTGGTTGAGCTGTAACAGTGAAGCGTATCAAGATTATTTGAGAGGAGCAGCGCACTCAATACATGCACAGACGCCTGCAGATTATTATCGTGCTATGGAAGGGGATAACTGATGCTATATCCAGTGACTTGCGTCCCTTCAGAGCATTGCTGTTCTTTAGGAAGAGTACTCGGCTGCATGTGTAGATATACCTGCGTTTCTACAGAGAGTTATGCCACTCTTCGGAAGCTGCTGACTATAAATGTGCTCAGAGACCTGCTTTACTATCACACTCTAGCTAATATCTATTCTAACCTATCGGCTTCGGCACTGTTGTTCTTTCGCAGAAAAAGCGATAAAGATATGAGACTATAACATGACGCCGGAAGCAAAGACTGTGGATTCAGACTATGGGTAGCACAGTTTAATGGATGCTCTCTATCTCTTGCTGGGGTTTTCGCTGGTTCGTGGTTTGCAGCGTGCATTTACGCCCGATAACCGCTGTTAGTGAACGCGTACTCGCATCCGTGGAAAAATCAAGTGGCTCGATTTAAGACGAGGAGGCAAGAAATGATGGCCATATGGTGCTACATTAGTAGATATCAATAGCTAATGATTCATGTATATTTAGTGTATATATATAATGTATTATTAGCTCTTTAATACCTAGGTATTCTTAGCTCTTGATATAGTGTTACATCTCTAATTGCATCTATTAGTGAACGTGACTTCGCATATCGACTGTATACGCAAACCCACGCCGAGCGCGCAGACGTCAAGGTCAATCCATGCCGAGCGTGCAGACGTGAAGGTCAATCCACGCCGAGTGCGCAGACGTGAAGGTCAACCCACGCCTTGCGTGCATGACGTTCAAGGTCAACCTCACGCCTAGCGTGCAGACGTGAAGGTCAATCCACGGCCGAGGCGCCAGCGAGCAACCGCTGTCAAGGTCAAAGCCACGTGCGACTGAAGCTGCATCAGACGGAGCGCATGACGTCTAAGGTCACCGACGGCAGCGCGCAGGCGTGAGCAGATGCCTTCGTGGAACGGGGTCAACCCACGCCAGGTGCAGCGCAGCGGTCAAGGTCAATCACACGCCTTGTGCGCGAGACGTGAATGGTCAACCCACGCGGGGTCGTGCAGACGTGAAAGGTTAAGCCACGCCTAAGCACGCAGTACGGCAAAGGTCAATCCATGCCGCAGCGGCAGACGTGAAGGTCAACCACTGCCCCGGGCCGCGCAGACGTGAAGGTCAACCCACGCGGGGCGCGCAGACGCTGAAGGTCCAACCCACGCGGGGCGCGCAGACGTGAAAGTCAACCGACGCCGGGCGCGCAGACGTGAAATGGTCAATCCCAACGCGGGCGGCGCAGACGTTCTCAAGGTCACACCATGCCGTGCGCGCCAGACGTTGAAGGTCAACCCACGCGAGCGCGCCAGAACGTCAAGGTCAACCCACGGCCGAGCGCGCCTAGACGTGAAGGTCAATCCCCCGCCGAGCGCGCAGAGCGTAGAAGGACAGAATCTGAAACCGTCGGCGCTCGGACGGTGAAGGTGCCGCTCGCGCCGCGACGTAAGCACGAGCCTAAAAAATCCACGCGTTAAAATCGCAACGCGCAGAAACTGATCGGTCATAGAATATGATATATATATATATATATATACGGTCAAAACGGCACGAAGCGTCCATCGCAGATATGAATATAAATGTAGGAAGAAGATAGGGTGTTCAGATTTTAGAATTCAGCAAAGCTTTCTGAGAATTATCTTTCTTCGTCAGAGCCTAATATAAATGCACGCGGAAATTAATAAAAATAACAGTCAATGGAACCGGTTATAGAATAAAACGTGACACACTACAATGTTGCCATAATAAGTGATTAATGAATAAAAACAATAACAACCACATATACATTTCTCAATTATATTTGGGGTGGTGTGTTTTTTCCAATTTCCGGTTGTGCTCAAAATCGGGCGATAATCATATACACAACAACGCGCAAACGCTCTCTCTCTCTCTCAGCAATGTCATCAACACACACAGACGCGTTTCGCACGCTAAGGCGCACGACAGCAACGACGCACACACGCAGCGCAGACAGCACACATTCAGCACCACACACACGCACGCACTACACAAAGCCTATCAGCACACAACATCACAGCGAGCAACACGTGGAGCACACCCAGCACACACACACACAACACCGGCACACACTCAGAATCATTTACCACCCGCCGTAATTCTACGATATATAGTATTTAACAGCAGAGAGATACGGATGTGTACGCTGTTATGATCCACACGTATTTCTCTCCGTTACCACTGCCGCAGCCGAGGTAGGCGTGACAAAACACAAAGGCGCGCCGCTTGCTTCTCATAAGAAGTTCCGCCACGATGATTCGTTGCGCCCTTATTCTGCAAAAAAACGATCACCCTTTATGAAAAAATTGGGCCGGCCAATATGAACACCTGCTAAAGACGACGTTGATTCCATCCAAAAATCCACATTGTTTTCTCATACAATCTAGATATTATGTCCTATATAATTATAATACTTAATTTATTATTAATTTAACTTTCAATTGCGGCATTAGTCTAAACTACCGTTATTAGCGGGCAGTTGTTACTGACTTGATTCTCTCACAAGCTCGTGCAATGATGCTTCTTAACGGGAAAATGACTGAGCTTTCTGAACGTGTTAAGACTGATTGTTAAGAAAGATAGTCGCAGCGCGTAGGCGAGAGTGGGTGTGTCGTGTTGTGGTGTGTGTGTGTGATGTGTGTGTGTGTGTGTGTTGGGCGTGAGCGGCGCGCGTGCCTGTGTTCGTCAATTTCAATTAAAAATCGGAAGGAAAAACTGTATCCAGTAAGCCTGCTGAATTCAAAATACTTCATTGAAAAAGGCATCAAGCGCTGTCCAATCAAAACATGTTCAAGCACTATTTCAGACACTTCACGCAATAGTTGAAAACGGCAACCGGCCAAATATTACCCCATTTGAATTGCAACCTAGACCTTTGAGGCCTTTGACTCATCGACTTTGAAACCGAAACACGGCGCCAGATTTTGCGCGCTAAAAGCTGTTAGCGACCAAACGCATTAAGACCGGCCGCCTCAAGCTACAGTAACGAGCACGGTGGAATAATTCATTATAATTCGCGTCGTCAGCGTCTGCCACGCATACTGCACTGTTGCTCACTGCATGCGAGGTGTTAACAAGATACAGACCTCCATAAATAGTCGGATAATTCTCGCTCGTTAGACGTCCATAGTTTCAGGTAAAACGAAAAGAATCAGGCCGGATGTTTGTTTGTCCGGAGGAAATAGCAATGGTGTACTTTGTGGCGTAATATTCACGGGGGCGCGATGGTGATTGTATGTGATGCGTGTGCGGTGTGATGTTGTGTTGTGTGTGTGTGTGTGTGCTGTGTGTGTGTATGCTGCGTGGCGTGCGTGCGTGCGCTGCGTGCGTGCGTGGCGCATGCGTGTGTGTATACACGCACCACTATATTGTCGACAAGGAAGCCAGAACAGCTACTATACAGAGTATACTCGTTGTACCTTGATATTGGTCACTTGTTGGTAAGGATCGTCTGCGAAGCTTTCTGCCGTCAGAATCTCGATGCCATGATCTTTCGCCGCCTTCACGAACTCCGTCGTAGCCTGCGACAGACGATGTACGTGACGTCAACAGCTACACAGACAGACGATGTACTGACGTCACACAGCTACAAAGACAGGACGATGTTACCTGACGTCACACATATACACAGACAGACGATGTACCTGACATCAAAGCAGCAGTTACACAGACAGACGATGTACCTGACGTCACACAGCTACACAGGCAGACGATGTACCTGACGTCACGCCAGCTAAACACAGACAGCGATGTACCTGACGTCACGCAGCTACACAGACAGACGATGCTACCTGACGTCAAGCAGCTACACAGACAGACGATGTACGTGACGTCACGTAGCTACACAGACAGACGATGTACGTGACGTCACACAGCTACACAGAGCAGACGATGTACCTGACGTCACATCAGCTACACAGACAGCGACGATGTACCTGACGTCACACAGCTAACACAGACAGACGATGTACGTGACGTCACCAGCTATAACAGACAGACGATGTACCTGACGTCACACAGCTACACAGACAGACGATGTACCTGACGTCACACAGCTACACAGACAGACGATGTACCTGACGTCACCAGCTACCACAGACAGACGATGTACCTGACGTCACACAGCTACACAGGCAGATGATGTACCTGACGTCACACAGCTACACAGGCAGACGATGTACCTGACGTCACGCAGTACACAGACAGACGATGTACGTGACGTCACACAGCTACACAGGCAGACGATGTACCTGACGTCACGCAGCTACACAGACAGACGATGTACGTGACGTCACGTAGCTACACAGACAGACGATGTACCTGACGTCACGCAGCTAACACGACAGACGATGTAGGCCCTACTGACGTCACACAGCTACACAGACAGACAGCTAATAGCCAGCCAGCCAGCCATCAGCCACCCAGCCAGCCAGACAGACAGAAAGACAGAAAGACAGGCAAATAGACAGACAGACAGACAGACAGACACGACATATAGATAGACAAACAAACAGACAGACAGACAGACAGACAGACAGACAGACAGCACAGACGGTCGGAGAGACGGACGACGGACGACGACGGACGACGGACGGACGGACGACGCACGGACGCCCGCGCGGACAACAGACGCACGCACGGACGGACGGTCAGACAGACAGACAGACAAACAGACAGA